ATAGATAGATAGATAGATAGATAGATAGATAGATAGATAGATAGATAGATAGATAGATAGATAGATAGATAGCAAGGGGCTTGGAAGCTAAATCCTATGAAAAGTGGTTGAAGGAACTTGGTATGTTCAGTCTAAAGAAAAGAAGGCTAAAGGAAGACATGATAGCAGTCTACCAATACATGAAGGGATGTCACGGGGAAAAGGGTGTGGATTTATTCTCCAGAGTACCTGAGGGTAAGACAAGAACCAATGGGTGGACAGAGATTCATCTTGAAATAAGGAGGAATTTCCTGACTGAGCTATAAGCAATGGAACAGCCTGCCTCCTGAAGTTGTGGGTGCTCCATCACTAGAGGGTTTCAAGAAAAGACTGGATGGTCATTTGTCCAGGATGGTCTGAGGATTCCTGCACGGGACAGGGGGTCAGACTAGAAAACCTTCAAGGTCCTTTCCAATGCTAGGATTCTATGATTAAATGGGTTTAGACATAATAAGGTGAATAAGAATTTATCTTCCAAGGATAGCACAATAAATACTGTATGTTAACATATATTCATATTTTAATAAATATATTAAAATATATTAATAAATTAACATATATGTATGTCTGCGTGTGTATATGTGTATACACACACACACACACACATAATGTTAATTTAGCTTTGCTCTCCCACAAAGTACAGCAATCTTTCCCAGTCTCCCATTTCTTGGCCTCTGCACATACCACAGAACGTAAAAACTGTTTGATAACAATTTGCGTTACTGAATTTGTTTGTTAACTTGCTCAGTTTGCGCAGACATGCGCTCACACACATGCTACTCCCAGCAGGAAGTAAATGCATTTTTTTCCTGATATGGTGATTGTGCTTCCCCTCCTTCTCTCTAAACACTGAGGATTAGAGAAATATTTTAAAAATACTGTGCGAGTAGATGTGTAACCTTTAACAATATAATCATATCATAACAGCTCTCTTCAGTATACACAACGTTTGGCATGTGTGGCCTTTTCTTTATTTTGCCCACCCCACCCCCAACCTTAAAAGGGCAAATGGAGAGCAAAACACCTCTGTGTTTGATTTAGCTTGTGTTGTTTGGCCCACAAGACCGTCTTGCTAGTTCAAAACTCTAATGGTTTATATCTTTGGCACATTAGCCTCCAATCTCCTGCTCTAGCCAGAAAGGTGAACAAATTGTTCAACTTTCCTCAGTTTCTCTGCAATAAGAAACATAATTATGCTATGGTCTAGCACAGTGATTAAATCACAAAGTCTACGGTCTGAATCTAACAGGAGTTTCGTGGGTTTGCAAGATGGCCTTAGGCTATCCTATGAAATGTCTAGAGATATGCTGAAGCAGACTGTTTATTGCATTAATCCTCATTTATTTTATAGGAGAGGATATTTTAATGATCAAAGGGGTACGCTATACTTTTGGGGATGGCAAACAATGCCCAGGATGCAACATCTATACATCATGAGTGAGGCCACAGTTAAATTAAATAAATTATTAGATTTATATCTTGTCTTTATTTAATTCAAGGTAGTGTACATAATGGTCCCTCCTCCTATTTTCCCCACAACAATAACCCTGTGTAGAAGGTTGGCTGAAAGAGACTGACTGGTCCAAAATCGCCCAGCCAACTTTCATGCCTAAGGGAAGATTAGAACTCACAGTCTCCAGTTTCTAGTCCAGCTCCAACCTGGCTCTCACATCCTGCACATAAGCAGGATCAAAATTTTCTGGATTTTCTTCCTGGGGCTTGGAAGATGCATTGGATGTATTCCATCAGAAATAAACTCAACAGACTCAAAAGTTTTCCTTCAATCGCAAGACAAAATTCTCGAATGAACATGTTTTGCTTTGTTTTGTCCTTGGAACACCAAAACAGCCTGTTTTGTAGTCAAAATGGATATTGCCAAGTTGTTCCTTAGATCCAGAATATTTGAAATGAACTTCATTAAAACAGTTTTCTTCTGAGATGGAACATAAGAATCCTAATAACACAAATCTGTTAATTTGCATATTAAGCCGATCTGGAATTGCGCCTTACGACTATATACCAGGGATGGACATCTATACCCATTCAAATCCTGGACTACAATTCCCATGACTCCTCACCATTTGCCTTGCTGTCTAGACTTAAAGGAACTGAAGTTCAACAACATCTGGAAGGACACTCCTTGCCCATCCCTGCTGCATATTTTGTTCAGCTCTTATACACTTAATTCCCCTTGGATGTTTCTACTCAGAAAGCAAATGGAGAGAAATCATGTTTGAACTGCCTTCTCTGACAAAACAACCTGCTTGAAAAGCAGCATTAAGGTAAGTCCAAGACAAGCTCTCACACAGCCGTGAATGATTTTATACGTACAAAAATGAGCATGCGATTGGGATTTCAGCCTTGATAGCTTTCCTCTTGTCTGAAAAAAGTGTTCCATCTAGAGAATGTTTAAAATGCTAATAAAATTGGAGCATACACAAGCTACGGTGATTTACAGATCATTAGTTTACTTGTAACCTTTCCCTCTTTATAAAACTGATGCGCCACTGGCACAGATCTCCAAAGACATCAGGACACTCTGGGCATGTCCACCAGTAATACATATTGATTACGGATGTTAAATTAAATTCTGCAAATTTAAAACTTGTCTATGTATGAAGGAGCTTTTGATATATCATGTCTGGATAGTAGTGAAAAAAAGTATTTTTGTACATTGTGTAACAAATGTTAAAGTTTTCTTCAAAGAAATTTGTCAGCTCTAAGCCTTTAAGATGGTTTTGTTTCGAAGGAGAGGCAAGGTTAGACACTACAGCATGATTCCATATGGCCTGGTTATAATTGTTGAAAAATTGAATAATGTAACCCTATTATTATTATTTTGAAGCCATAAAATTGTTTTTCTCTCCCTGTTTTTCTCATTTTCTTTCTTTTCTTTTTCGTTTTTGCTGTTTTACCTAGTTTTAGCTATATGATTTTTGTGATATTACTTTAAATGAAATGACATGTAGTAGTTTTGTTTCCAATTTTTATTATTTGCATCATTATTATTACCATTTGGATTGTTTTAAAATTTCAGTAAAGATAATTTTTAAAAAGACATATGCTTTGTTCTCTTTTTACTAAAACACATATGCATTCACACTCATTGGTTAAATACTTCAAAAAAATCTTGATCCCTTCATACTTACAGTTACATTTTCCTCCAAGAAATCTTCAAATTAAATATCAAGTAATAGGAAATAATGAAAATTACCCTTGATTAACACACATATGGACTGCAGGATTTAGAAAGAAAGTGTCCACACAGCAAGAAAAATAGCTCTTGTGCAAATAAATCTTTTACAAGGGTTTAGGAACACATATTTGCACTGCACGCTTCATATCAAATAGATCACCCATGGCCATGTTTGCAGATAAGTACTCACCTCTGCAGTAACGTCCATCTGAAGCTAACTGGAAACCAGGTTTGCAGATACACTTAAAACTTCCATCTTCATTGATGCACATACCATTAAGACACATGTTTCGTATGCTGCATTCATCCATATCTAAACAAATGAATGCACAAACAGAAGTTTATCATCATTACAGGACATCACATTCTTCAGGTGACCTGAGGCAAGACACAATCTTATGCTTGGATTTCAAGGATGTATGTGATGTCTGAATGACTGAATAGTTGAGAGGAATTTAGAGAGTGTCACTCCTTTGCCTTTCAAGGATAAACTACTTTAAGATAAAGTCCTCTCAAAAATAACACTGATACTTTAGAGGCTGGCATTTATCTTACAGTGAGAGTGATCTCTAACACTTTTCTGATGTTAAATACAGCAACAAAGACAGAAAGCAGACAGTCTTCTATTAAAATAACAACTAAGACGGGGATGAGAAATCTGGTTCCTTTCTTATGTTGCTCAAGTAAGGCTCCCAGCATTGTTCCCACTCACCATTTTGTCAGAAGCTGCTAGAAATTACACCTCAGTAAGATTTGGAGGAGCACAAGTTCCCACCCTGAGCTTAAAAAATGGGAATGTAAAAATAAATCTGTTAGAATAAACCAAAGGCTGGTATTTTGTTCCAAATGTGACCAACCAGATGCCCACAAGTAGGACATGAACGCCATGGGACATCTCACTCATCGTCCTAAACAAATGGCACTGCCAGATGGCCTTTGATACTGGAGGTACTGTAAACAATTATAAACTAACGGCCACCGCAGAACATTAGAGGAGATACAGAAGACACACCATGAAGCAGATAGTGGTCACAACTGCAGTCATGTACATATGGCTCTTACACATGTTTAGTTATGTACTAGCTTTCTAAATTCAGACAAAATTCTGAATTTGAGACTGTACACAGGGGCATTATAGTATAACTATAACCCGGCCCGATGTTCCATCTTCTTGGGTTGTTCTTTTTTAGTATTGTTTTAATTTTATATA